CATCACTTAGCACTGATGTTAGCCGTGACGGTGGAAACGACCAGAGGTCGCCGTGTTAATAGCGCATTAAAGTAAATAAAATGTCACGATGTATCCACGAGCCTATTGGACCTTCTGGATAAACACATTCGCGTTAGTTTCTAGTAATCAAACTCTAGGGTCGGTTTAGACTTGAGGGCTACCGTGGGAATCTGGGTCGGGCCCACGTGGGTCCATCTCGCGAACCGAACTCGCTTCGCTTCCCGGCGGGCCTGGCGACTCGGCGTGAGGGTCGCGCCGGCGCAGTCAGGCGGGGGAGCGCACAGAGACGCTGCTGACTCGACACACGCCGTCTTCGGCCCGGTGCCGGATTAAGCGAGTGCGGGACCTGCAGCATGTGTTGTTATCAAGGGGCCCTAAATTAAAAAAAACTATATTTTAAAATAGTTTTACTTGGATTGTTATGTAATTGTATTTTTTCATTTGCTATACAGCCAGATAATACGACACGTAGCTAACCTTAATCACCCATACTCTTTGGTTATTTCGGTAAAGTCACGTAGAGAGAAAATTATTAATAGATCACGACGTTTCGATCGCAACACAAGCGGCCGTCTTCAGGTGAGAGAGAGAAAGCTACTGAAACAAGGTCTTATGGAGGCTTCAGATGGGTGCAGCCTCAGAGATGGTCTGCCTGAGGCTGTGGAAGTGGCCATTGTATTGTGAGAGATTAGCATGTCAATGCACGAGCTGAGTATGTCGCAGCATCGGTGACTGAGCGAGAAGGACATCCAGCCCGTCAATACAAAGACATCCAACCTAATAATGCAACCCATAGAGTCAGATAAAATCGCAGGATGGACGGAAACATCACAGCAGGTTAAGACTTTACCTGATTAATCACGTCCTTCCAATGATTGCTCAATTTGTACCCATCTTCTCGGTTGAAGTTGTGTCTGTGTTTATATATCTGGATGGCTTCATGAACAAATCTCTGATGGTAGCCAGTGGGTTTGCAGAGTACGTTCGTCTTGGAAAAATCAATGAATCACCCAGTCGTTCATAAAAGTCGCAGGTGGTATAGTACTATAGTAATAGAGCAAGTGCAGAATCACTGAACCGGAATTGATAGCTTGAAGGCATTTAGCGCGGGGCCCTTGAAAGTGCAGGGCCCGTGGCATTTGTCGCTACTTTTGCTTCTCGGATTTTCCGGCGCTGCCTCTGCCGTGACCTTTTCTTGCGAGTAGACGAGTGGTGCCTCCGTTATCAAAGCCACGCGGCAGGACGCATCCATCCGCCCGTGCTCCCAACGCGAACGCCGCCACTGCCAGCCGCCGTGTGCGAGAGGTGTCATGGGTGGAATTGTAGTGGCCCTTTGAAATGAACGAAATCACAAAGCGAAAGGTTTCAAAGTGACATTGTGCCTGATGTGGCTACAGCACTTTATTTCCGCGTAAATAATGTATTGTTACATCTGGCCTTTAATTTATTTTTCCTCTAAAATTTCAATTGTGTTGTTTTGCAATCGTGACGTTAGATGAAGAATCCACGTGGAGATCTTGCCGATCGAGAAGCCCCGTTTCTCAGAACACAGCTGTGGACGGACTAGGGTTCCCACGTGACTCGGTCCACTCGCAACCTTCCAGGAGCCTCTTCATCAAATATATCGCACACTCGGCCACGACAGAATTTGTCGCTTGACACTCATGCCTATAATTGCCATAATCGGAGATCAAATATATCCACGTTAAGTGAAACCAAATGTAATGCGATCGGTCCTTCTGCAGTAATTGGTGACTTGCCTGGGAGCATCAACTCGCTACGAAGAAGAACCGGGTTTAATTGCGGTTGGTCGAGACTTGGATTCTAATCGAGAATATAAGCGGTGCTGGCTCAGTGTCCCTGACCTCTGAGTCACTCTGCGGGCGAAATCAGTATTCATTGAAACACTCATCCCGATTGATCAGATCTCCGAGGCTAAGCAGGCTTGAGCCTGGACAGCGCTTGGGTGGACGACCACGGTGCGCGGAGAGACGGGTGCGGTGAGCGGTGTTTTGACAAAATGAGAGCAGCGCTCGGGCACGGATACACAGGACATTGGCGGCGAACTCGCTCACGGGGAAATGTATTGCGGTTGAGCCTCAATGGGCTTGCCGCGAGCATACAAAGAAAGAAGTTGCCGTTTTTTTCTTTTTCTTGCTGACACTGGCTCAAGATTCTGGCCCAAAAGCCCTCGAGAAAGGCAATGGCAAAGAGACAGACAGCGATGATTGCTGTTTAAGAGCCCGTCGAGGCCAGCTTTGTCTTATTCAAGGGAAGACATGGACAGAGTAGAAGGCGGCATCCTATGAATACGCGCGCTTATTAAACTAATTGCACAGACGATACAACGCCGTAAATTAAATATGAATATGAAGCAACAGTATTCCGAGTGTTGATACAATTAATAAAAAAAATGTGAGATAAACATACATGATCAAACGCAATGAAGGCAAACTACGTTTAGTATAAATATATACTGTATACTGGAATCAAATAAATAATTAATAGTGCCTTTGTTAATCCACTGCTAGATAAAAGTCCTTCTCACGCCGCGTCGATGATGGGGGTGTCTGTTCAACTTTGGTCAGTGGGGGTTGCTAAAGGGGAGGGTGTGGGGGCAAGGGGAGACGGGGGAGAGGGGTCCGTGACCGGTTTGGATTTTACTTTAGCCGTGACCACGCAGGTGGTTAGCTAAATCGTAGCGCATTGTGTGTTAACCCCTGCATCACAACTTCAGCCATTTTAGTAGGCATATAAAATCATACAACTATTACAAATAATCTAATGCCTCGAGTGTCATGGCTGGCTGCTGGCTAGGCACCTCTCCACCCCAGCAATGACTCTGTTGTTGTTAGTTAGTTGCTGCTGCTGCTGCTGCTGCGGGTCGTTGACACTGAACCTAGCTGGGTAACTGGCTGCACGGGATTTTCAGTGTAAAAACAACTGAATTGAATTGATTCGGCGGAAGAAGTTTGAAGGACAATAATTAGATTAGATAGCGCCACCAAAGAGGTGGGAGGAATGAATACAGCAGACTGGCCACGGTTCATTTAAAATCGCTCTAAATTTTCAATTTGTGCTCCTGTTAATGTATTTCATTTGCCAAAACATTTATAAAATCCTCGAGAATATAAAAAACCTCTCACAATAGATATTATCTTAGCATTTTATGATGACATAAAAAAGCAAATTACTTTTAGTGCTCCGAGTACAGGAGGATTGTGAGAAAAGTTTGACAAAGACAGCTGGAACTTGTTTTCAATTGCGGAGCAATGGATTCTCTACTCGTGCTATTTAAAACAATTATCATCACAATACTATTATGCAAATGCGAAATTAATGAAGCAGTCCGCAGCATTTCTGCACTGGCACAATAAGCGAGGAGTGAGGTTCACCGCCTCTTAAACAACCACGAGCCAGCAGCAGCGGTGTTACTTCCCCATTCCTATGACGAGGGCGAGTCTGTTCACTGTGACAACCATAGTTTTCAACTTTTGTGTGACTTCCCACAAAGTAGTACTTATTTTATCTACCCGGGAGGGATGACAGGGGGAGTCGAACCACGACCAGGATTTGAACTCGTAGACGTTTCGATTTTAAGCCAAGGCGCCTTCGCTACCAGTCCCTGGACACATATCAACTACAAAGACAAATATCTCCTGTATAGCTTTAACATACTATTGGGGCAAGTGCTGTTAGCGAGCACCTATGAAGGCCGGCACGGCACACGAGGGGTGGGTGGCCAGCACCACGCCCTGCCCGCCTTTGTGTCCCCAGTGGCGATGTTTACACACAGCACCAGGTACTCATTTGAGGCTGAGTCGAGCTAGGGGAAGGCCCAGGACCGGTTCAGATAATCGTCACTGGTGTTGGCCGTGAGCGGGAATCGAACTCAGATGGACGGGTTGGTCGTGAAGCGCGCTGACCATTGCACGATCGTGAGTGATACAGTGACGAATCTCACCTCTAATGATGTTCTAGAAGGGCCAGATAATTTTGACTTAAAACTTTCGTGACTGCAGGAATTCATATTCTTTGGTTCTTTCGGTAAAGTCACGTAGATAGAAAAAAATTTAAGTGAATTAAAAAATAATAATAAAATAATAAAAACAAAAACCACGACGTTTCGATCGCAACACAAGCGGTCGTCATCAGGAAAAAGACGACCGCTTGTGTTGCGATCGAAACGTCGTGTTTTTTTAATTATTTTATCTATATCATTATTTGTATTCACTTCACTTTTTATTTCTATCTACTTGACTTTACCGAAAGAATCAAAGAATAAGGGCGAGAAAGCTCAAATTTCGTACAAATACAGTCGCGTTTTACGCGAGAGAGTAATACGTTAACATAACTTACAGCCCCCTTGTCAGTGCACCACTGGGAGAGGGCCACTCCACGCCACGGTGGTAATTGGCCCTGTTCGACCATACTTCACGCTCTGGATTACAGGGGTTCATTAGGCGGTGGGCGGGGTCGGGGGGGAGAGCCCAGGGCCCGGTTTGAATGTCATCCACTCACAACTCGTGTTAGCCGTGGCCGGCGAAATTTAGATGGCTGGGTTTGACAGCAACGGCACGCAAATCACTGCCCCCCCCCTTCCACCTCACCCTCGAACATGTCATCTAGAGGCGTCATAATAATTATCTGAGCGCGCACGTGTACAGAGGACGCCAGCCGAGGTTAGCATCTTGTGGCACGGGAGGAGTTAATGTTTATTGAGACGCGGCGAGCAAGGCAGGCGACGGGGGAGACGCGTATATTGCAGCGTTGACGCTCGCACCCATCAAGGGGACATCCACCTCGCCATGTGAGATTACGTAAGGGGCTGAAGGTGGGAGGTGGGGTTGAGGGGGGGTGTAAGGCAGAGGCGGGATTGCGGATGGAGGGACGGAAGCGTGGGTGATGGGGTGTCGGTGTTAGAGAGAGGGAGAGAGATTGGGGGGCTGGGGGTGGGATGGGTTGGGGGTGAATGCGCGCCTATTTGTCCGCACACTTATCTGGGATCTTGCCGTGGGGCGGCAAGAACCACCGAGTCGGCAGCAGGCGCACACGCAGGGCGCACTCTCCCCGCGCGGGCGTGTCACCGAGAGGAGGAGGAGGAAGAGTCGTCTCCACCACCCCGCCGCCCACCCGCGCTTTGATTTGCGCGGCGACCGCTCTCGCCGGGAGGACGGCGCGGCGGCTGCGCGACACGCGGCAAGGGGCGGGGAGGTCGCGCTCCGCGGCGCGCACCTCGTGCTCGAAGCGCCGCGCGGTCCGCTGTGCGGCGCGCGCCGGTGGCGGTCGACGCCGCTGCTCCCGCCGCGCACTTCATAGCCGAGGCAGCGGCAGCCGCGAGGCAGCAGCGCGCAATGAGCAGCAGAGCGGTGCGGAGAGAGCGCACGCCTGGGCTATAGCACCACCACCCCCCTCCCCCTCCTCCTCCTCTCTCTGCCTGGGTGCCTCTCGCCCTGCCGCTAAACGTGCGCGCGCTGCTGTGGAGACCTGGGACCGACCCCCGTGCGTCCAGCCCCTTACCTGGGGCTGAGCGAAGCTTGGAGAGGGCGAGCGAGCGAGCGAGCGAGCGAGGGGCGAGAGGTCAGAGACCGAGACTCTCAAACATCGCCTGGGCAGCGGCGCCAGCGACTCCCCCGCGTGGCTCCGGCGTGATCCGCGTGGCTCCCCCCCCCCTCCCGAGCGCATGAGTCAAGACGCGGGCACGGCCATAAGATGCGGGTTCCGCTGTGCGCATTGGCCCTACTCTGCCTGCTGAGCACAGGTAAAAGTGCATCCAGATATCGAGACAGCTACATAATACACCATACATTCACACGTACAGAGATAGGTATGGACACACACATATATATTGGTAAATAGCACACAGTACACACGTAGAAATATATATACACTAAATTTGATACATGTATAGAGACACGTGCATAGGTACATAGCACATACATACACACGTGTGCATACACACGTGTGCATAGATACACATCGCCATATGTATGCATCATGTGTGTATACATACACACGCTATACACATTGATACATATAGACACATGCATAGGGGCATAACGCATACACACGGTCGCACACATACATGGATAGTCCATGGCTGTAGCCATGAAAGACACAGACACGCATACACTCTGCTACACACAGACTTACACTCAGACTCACACACTCACACACCTAGCAGACTGCTGGGGGCAGAATGCCGTTAGAGAGCTCCACACGAGGTAACAAGCCCCACGCCCAACCGCCTTTGTCTCCCTAATTTCGACATTTCCACATCGCACCAGGTACTCATTTGAGGCTGACATAGCCCGCGGCTCGCACACTCTCACACGCACGCACGTTCATACTCAGCCACAAAGACAAAGATCCCCCGTATAGCCTGAGACGACTGTTGGGGCAAGTGTTGTTAGCGAGCACCTGTAAAGGCCGCCACGGCACACGAGGGGGTGAGGTTGCCAGCACCACGCCCGATCACATTTGTCTACCTCGTGGCGATGTTTACACACAGCACCAGGTACTAGTTTGAGGCTGAGTCGACCTAGGGGAGGCCCAGGACCGGTCAATACCATCGTCACTGGTGTTGGCCGTGAGCAGGAATCGAATCCGGGTGGTCAGGTTCGTAGCGCAGCGTAGCGCTAACCACTACACTACCGATCCCCACTCAGCCCCAGGCACTCTCACGCACTCACGCACGTTCAGCCACAGCCACAGTCACTCTCTCCCACGCTCGTAAGCTTGCTCGACCGCCCGCGTTCCTATCCCGCGTGTGGATTTTCCCAATGCCTGTTGGGCATCATTTGTAAAATGATTTGCTACTCCACATATTACAGACAAACACACGTATCCAAAACACACAGAAAGGATACCGTATAGCCTGTAACAGACGCTTGGGGCAAGTGCTGTGGCGAGTAACAATGAAGGCAGGAATGACACACGAAGGGGTGGGTGGCCAACACCACGCCCGGCCGCCTTTGTCTCCCTAGTGGCGATGTTTACACACCGCACCAGGTACTGTACCCATTTGAGGCTGAGTGGGCCACATACACACACACATACGGGCACAGCAAGACACTGACCCGCAACACGCAAGATTATCTCCGTTCGCGGTTCCTCGTTTAGCGGTGGTAATTCCACGTTACTATGCCACGGACTAGTCTGTACGGAGGTCATACACTGCATTATGTTCACACCAATCGGTGCTGCCTCATTTGGTAGCAACGTTTTATCGGCCTCATAAGGATGCTGCTTGATGATGTGTGTGTGCGTTTGTGAGACTGGTAGAGGGATGATTGATGATGGTAATGATGATTGTTTGGTGGAATTGGAATGGTTGACGACGACGACGATGATGATGATGATGGCCACAACCGAAAACAAGCTGTCACTCGCACGCGGATCTGGCTCAGGGTCTTGGCGAACGCGATGACGCGCGGCTCCTGGAGGGCGCCTCACGCCGCGAGGGCTCGAGCCGGGTGCCCTGGCCCACATCTTGGTGAGCCGGGTGCCCTGGCCCACCTCTTGGTGTGCCCGGGACAAATGTTGACTCCCATCACCGTCTAGCCGTGAGAGTTGCTCATGGACTCACTAAAACTACACCCCCCCCCCCAACACGGATCGCTACGACACTCACCACACTGCTCACCAATTATAAACTCACCACACTGCTCACCAGTTATAAACTCACCACACTGCTCACCAATTAAAAACTCATCGCGAAGCTCACCAACAGCAGTAATAAACTCACAGCTCACCAGTACTAAACTCACCACACTGCTCACCAGTACTAAACTCACCGAATATCTCACCAACACCAGGACTAAACTCGCCACACTGCTCACCAATACTAAACTCACCGAATATCTCACCAACACCAGGACTAAACTCGCCACACTGCTCACCAGGACTAAACTCACCACACTGCTCACCAATACTAAACTCACCGAATATCTCACCAACACCAATACTAAACTCGCCACACTGCTCACCAGCACCATTACTAAATCCACGACACGTCTAATCATCAGCCAAACTAAACTCACCACATAACTCGCCAACACCAGAACTAAACTGACCAACAATGCCCATTTTTGTCTCGTTATCGGCTAGATTGCTAAGGAAAAATACTTTCAACCAAACGAGTTTGCGTTTATTTAAAAAAAAACGCGTAACGTTCTTATTGCTGCTGCTGCTGCGTGTCTTGTGTGATTAGCGCGTTCGAGCGACGCGTTGAGCCAACCCCTCGCTCGGGACTGGCTTGAGCGGCTTGTGCTCACAGTCAGAACGCACGCACGTGTTGTGGGTTCGTGGGTGTCTTTGGGGAACGGCAGGAGTGCAGTGGTTCGCGCCCTGCGTTACGAACCCAGCGACCCCAGTTCGATTCCCACTCACGGCCAACACCAGTGACGAATATATCAACCGGTCCTGGGCCTCCACTGGGTCGGCTTGACCATAATTGAGAAACCTGGTTCGGTGTGCAAACGTTTGCATTGGGGAGACAAAGGCGGCCGTGCCTATAGTGCTGTCCGCACCCACCCCCTCGTGCGCCGTTCCGGCCTAAATAGGTGCTCGCTAACAGCACTTGCCCCAACAGCGTGTATAGGCTGTTGGGGCATCTGTTGGGGCATCTCGCCTGCGAGGCGTTCAGTGAGCAGCAGATTGAATGGGGTGGGCTGACAGCCACAAATGACACTGAGTCTGTAACTGAAGTGTGGAGTCTGTAAACTTAATTGGACCGCTCAGCTTGTGTGTGTGTGTGTGGCGGGGGTGGAGGTTTATTTTGCATGGAACGCGCGCGCGTGTGCAGGGGGGCGGAGACCGCCTGGGCTCGAATCCACGATTCAGTCCAAGAGATGAGTCACATTGGTGCGGAGTGTCAACGTAAACATCGCCGTGGAGAAAGACAAAGGCGGCCGGGCGCGGTGCTGTCTATTCGCAACCCCCTCGCGTGCCCTGCCGACCTTTAGTCGGCATCTGTTCCTAAAGGCCACGACGTGCAACGACGGATGTTTGTAGATGTGTGTGTGTGCGCGTGTGTGTGTGTGTGCGTGTGTGTGTGCGCGTGTGTGTGTGTGCGTGTGTGTGTGTGTGCGTGTGTGTGTGCGCGTGTGTGTGTGCGCGTGTGTGTGTGCGCGTGTGTGTGTGCGCGTGTGTGTGTGCGCGCGTGTGTGTGCGCGCGTGTGTGTGTGCGCGTGTGTGTGTGCGCGTGTGTGTGCGCGTGCTTGTGTGTGTGTGTGTGCACGTGTGTGTGTGCGCGTGTGTGTGTGTGCGCGTGCTTATCTGCGTGTGTGTGCTCTTGTCTTTTCTTTGTCTTGTGTCTGTGTGTGCGTATGCTTGTGTGTGTGTCTGTGTGTATTTGTGTGTGCGTATGCTTGTGTGTGTAGGTTGTGTGTATGTGCGTATGCTTGTGTGTATGTTGTGTGTGTGTGCGTATGCTTGCGTGTGTGTCTATGTGTATTTGTCTGTGCGTATGCTTGTGTGTCGGTGTGTGTGTATGGTTGTGTGTGTCTGTTTGACGAGCGGTAGTGTAGCATTACGCTTCAAATCCGTCTACTCGAGGTTGATTCCCGCTCACGGCCACCATCGGTCACGATTTTCTGATCCGGTCCGGGGCCGTCCCTACCTACTACGTCGACTCAGCCTGGTGCCGCGGGTAAACATTCAGCGCTGGAGAGACAAAGGCGGCCGGGCGTGGCGTTGTCAAGCCATGTCGGTCTTCATAGGTGCTCCCTAACAGCACTTGCCCCAAAAGCCCGTCCAGGCTATACGGGGGATCTTTGGCGTGTTTAATATCCGGGGACAGTCTCATCTGAGAGCTCCTACGGCAGGCGCGGCTGCGGTGGCTCGGTCATGCAGACCACGTGGCCGGCGTGCGTGTGACAGTCGTCGTGTTAATTGATTTGTAAAGCCAGATTCCGCAGTTAATAGGGATAGGAAGAGAACAGAATTACAAACAAAACGGATAAATTGCCATTCAGTGTTTAATCTCATCTGTCGGGGCCCTCTGCCGAATATTGTTTTGACGAAACGTAAGTCGTTAATTAAACATTAGCGACTTACGTACTGCCGAGTCTAATGATGTAACACGTTTCGACAGGGAAGTAATCATAATAAGCAATGCTTTACAGCCCCCTTTATCAATCTACTGCTGGATGAAGACCTCCCCCGTGTCGGCCACCTGAGTTGATTTAGACTATTTCATTAGGCTGGTTTATCACGCTGTTTAAAACAAACATCAAATGTGGTAAGCACAGGATCAGAGGTGTCACGGGCACGGGTTGTTGATGCGCTGAATCGTCAACGGTGACTCGACGAACTCGTTTTTAGTCAACGCACGTGACTCGGCGATGCGTGGGAAGTCGAAGGGGCAGCCCAGGGCACGGGCGCTTCCAGGAGTCGAGCCGAGGGTGACCGCTCTCGCGAGCCGCGTCCACGGATTCCGCGCGCAACATCAAAAGCGTCGACTGGACGCGGGAATGCCACGGACCTGTGGATGAAATCGCGCGTGGGGGTTCAGGCCAGGGTGAGTTCCACCAAACGCTACAAATGTCGAGGATGCACATGAGCGGCGCGCGCCCTGGGTGTTGAGCCGGGGACGCGGGCTCTTCCCCCGTCTTCCTCCCCCGGTCGGGAGGGGGGGGGGATTGTCGTGATCCCTCGGTGGCTGCGTGCCTCGGGCGATGGGGGCGCGGCACCGTGCGCGTGCACAGCGGGGTGCTCGGCGTGGGCGAATTCGTTCAGGTCAAGAGGGCATCGTGGCCAACGGCGCTGATGTCACCCGCACTTCGCACCGTCGCTGCCTCCTGCCTTCCTTCCGTTGTCTGCCGCAGTTGTTGCGAAGTCGACATCCGATCTCGAAGGTCTGGGGGCTTATGTCTCCCACCATTTGGCTTTGGATCTTCCCCATTGGCAGTGGACTGACAAAGAGTGACAAGCATGCACTGTATATCATGCTGTATTGGAAATATAAGTTTTGCTGGCTGGCACGCGGGTGGTCAAATGCGCGGCGGTGATGTAAGATCTGCGTGTGACCTCACCCGCATTGAGCCCAGTTCGTGCGTGATGACGTCACGCCTACTCCTGACCCACCGTAAACCCGCGGTATAATAGGCGACGTTACATGTTGTTGTGCTTTGGGTTACCCAGGAAAGTCTCACCGAGTCTCGAGAATCTTTTTTTTGTTTTCAGGAAGGTCCTGCCATTTACTCAGAGTTGGGTGCGCTCTCGCTACGTGTTCAACTTCAATGGAGTAATTTGCAGGTGCATTTCAGCATTGGGGTGTTTCAATTTTTACTTATCTACCGGAGGCAACCGGGTAACCCGGAGGGAAACCACTCAGGACAGGGGGAGAACATTCAGTTTCAGTTTCATTTATTTATTAGGTTTAACCCTGTGAGCCATGCGGTTCTTGACTCGGGTGCAACCGCAACAAAAAAAACATGAACAAGAAACATCTTAAAGTGACTACACGCGACAGAAAAATCCTGGGAAAAACAGCAAAGTCTTCCAGAAAAAAACACCGTATTTCAACGCTGTGTGCAAAAATCCCAGCGGCATGCAAGTCAAACAATAACGACCATATACAGACTCGGCACAGCAAGGCGCCCGAGTCGCGAATGAAACCCAAGTGCCCTCTTGCTTTGAGGCACGAGTGGGATTCCACTGCGCTGCCACGTGGCCGCCCTCCCAACGGCGGTGATGTCCGAGCCTTTCGGACCTTCGCTTTCCTGTGCGAGTTGTAAGGCAAACTGGCAGGCAAACTCGAGCACCACCAAGATTGTGCAGTGTCCCTTGCTCAATGCACACACGCAAACACACATAAACAGCGCTCTCGTGACCACACACAGTGCACTCTGCGTGTACCATTAACGCTTCTCGATGACAAAAGCCTGCCGAGTGCTAAGTGGCGAGACACCGCCCCAAGACCTGCCTCCTGAAAGACCTCTCGGTACGAGTGCCGCCAAGGTCCTGACGCGCTCCCCATCGCGAGTCAATGCGCCGTCGGGATTCTCATTAGCCGCTGCATGCACGAATTCACTCCTCCTGTGGTTGTTTTTTCCCCCTCTCGTATCAACGGCGTGGTGCGTGCAGCGGCCTCTAGTGGCTGCAGAGCGTTACGCGGAGCCGTTCCTGCCGACGCGGACCAAAAATTCCGCACGCGATTCCCCATGCCCGTGTCATTGTCAGCTGGAACCATCGATACTGTGCTGATCAATCGATGCAATTGCCACACCCCCGGAATTGTTCAGCAGCGTGCTGCAGGGTCGACGATTGTGCACCAGGGATCCCGGCGTGGTGCGATGGGGGCAATGTCCGCTTTGACCTGCGTGTGTGTGTTGCAGATCTTTCGTGGATCTGTGAGCTCCTCGCCACCCAAATAAAGGTTGATTTAAACCCGCCACTGATCGTAGATAGGGCCCACCCTGAATGTGTTCAAGCCGTCCGAGGTGTGGCTCTGTAAGCGGGGTCCCACGTTCCGCCAGCATAACGAGATGGGGGGGCACGATTATGGCCGAGAATTCCTGGCTGGAGTTTCGGAAAACGAGGCTACGTTGGCTGGGCCATGTAGCCCGCATGTCCAGCCACCGCTGGACATGTTGGCTGGGCCATGTAGCCCGCATGTCCAGACACCGCTGGACATGTTGGCTGGGCCATGTAGCCCGCATGTCCAGACACCGCTGGACATGTTGGCTGGGCCATGTAGCCCGCATGTCCAGACACCGCTGGACATGTTGGCTGGGCCATGTAGCCCGCATGTCCAGCCACCGCGAGCTGCTTGTTTGGCCGGATAGAGGGGCCTAAAGGGGCTCGGCACGGGCTAGAGACGAGGTGGGCTGCTACAGGAGGACGTGGTGCTGAGTGGACTTGCCAATGACTGATGCCAGCGGTGGCAGCATCGGCCTCCGTGGATGAGGCTTCGGGGAAAGACGCGACTGAGCAGTTGGGAGGCCAGCCGCTCTTCACGAACAACGGGAAGTGGAGGAGTGACCCTCACAATCAGTCGTCTCCCTCGCCTCCCTAGGTAGACTCGGCCTAAACGAGTCACAACTGTCGAGGTGTAATCGGTGTGGAATGTAACATTCGACGTTGCAGAGATAACCCACACACCACTCTCTCGTGCGCCGTGGCGGATTTAATCGGAGCTCGCTCACAGCACTTGCCCTAAAATCTGCCAAAGGCTATGCATCCTGACAAGTGTTTTTTTTACGTGTGTGCGTATGCTTGTGTGTGTCTGTGTGTATTTTGTGTGTGTGCGTATGCTTGTGTGTTTTTATGTGAATCTGTGTAGAGGTGCGTTTATATGTGTGTGTGTATAAATTTGTACATATTTGTGTGCACGTATATATTTGTGAATGGATGTGTATGTGTACAGTACTGGGTAATGTATGTTAACGTGGTTTTCAAAACGTAGGTGTATTTGTATGTGGATTTGTGTGTTTGTGTAAATGTGAGTGTATTGATGTGTGTCTGTATGTATGTAGGTATGAGAGGGTGTATGAATACGAGTGTATGTATGTGGCTAACAGCAAATGCCCCAACAGTCTGTTAAGCCTACACGGGGGAGCTTTGTCTCTTTTTGTATGCGAGTGTACGGGGAGCGGTGGCGCGGTGGTTAGCGTGCTGCTGCGACCGGGCGTGCCGGGTTTGATTTCCACTCATAGCCAATAACAGTGGCGAACATTTTAAGCAGTCCTGGGCCTCCCCCTAAGTCGACTCAGCCTCAAACGAGTACCCGGTGCAATGTGTAAGCATCGCCACTCGGGAGACAAAGGCGGCCAGGCGTGGTTTTGGCCACCCACCCCCTCGTGTGCCGTTTCGGCCTTCATAGGTGCTACTCGCTAACAGCTCTTGTCCTAACAGTCAGTTTAAGGCTATCTCATTTTTGTTGGATGTGCACGTATCTCCGCCTTTGTGTACGTCTGAAAGTGTGCGAGTGTAAGTGTCTGTACCCGTGCACATCGTGAATGCGCGTGGTGTGTGGTGCGACTCGTGCCACCCTCTCTCCGCGATGCTGTCACGCTGCTCGCCCAGTGCGCTCGCTCTCTCTCGTTGCTCAGAAGCGGCCACTTGAACCCCCCCACCCTCACACCTCGGTCTGCATGGCCCGATTGTAATCTCCGGCAGGCGGGCAGCGCGCCAGACGAGCCCCCACACTCGCCCCACACGACGCTCCGGGCGGGGTGTGTTGGCAGGTGGTTTCGCTGCGATAGCGAGAGAGAGAGGTTTTTTTTTTGCTTCGCCCTAAATGAAAACCGGCCCCCGGATTGTCAGTTCGAGTCAATTACAACGCCTTTTAAGTCGGGGCGAATGGTCCCCTTTGAAATCCATTTATCTCGTGAAATCACTCTCAAAAGGTGCGGCTGTATTTGTGTTGTGTGTGTGTTTGAGTCGTGGTTAATTCGAAACTTGAGGATTTGCAGCGCCATAAAACCGGCTTCAAGATTGCGAATTGTACCGCAGCCCATTTAATAAAAACAACGGCGGCGACACGTCAAGAGTAGGCGCAGCTCCAGCCAGTTGCTCACTCACCGCACTGCCGGCAGGAGACTCTCCAACGCAGAGAGCTTTAGAGACCACCCCTTCCCCACAAACGGGGGCATTTTGACCTACCTTTCCAAGCTGATCGGACGCCTTCGAGAAGGTGGCAGTACCCACACGTTACCCCACCACACGCGACCAGCCCATCGACTGTGATAGATCTATTTATTCTGCTGGCTGGGCATAGGCAGGGGGATTTAATAAACCTGCTCCGTTGTCTCAACTGGCACGCCGCGAGATCGAACCTTGACCTCTGGATTGCACGTCCTATGTTCTGACCAGTACAGCATCCAATGTATGTATGCTGAACTTCTTTCGCGCCGTACGTAGCCAACCGTGATAATCGGAGGTGCGGGATAATATACTAATAGGGTGTATCTCGCACAGCCGTCGTCTCAAGATCATTTTTTCAGGAGGTCCCTGCATTGAGATGTAGTCGAGTGAACGAGCGCTTGGCTTCATTTTGGAGGGAGCTGGAGAACCTCACCACGCCTGCGAGGGGGTAGCGCTCAAGGCTCTGCACAGATGGATCCGAGAATCCACTGCTATGCTATCATCTCCTGGCCCTCTCCATCCCCATGCCTGTAACACGTGGAGTTGTCACGCAGACGTCATTCATGGAACAACGGAGCGTAACTCGGCTTGGCTCGTGAGTTTTGATGAGACTGGGCACTCTGCGGATGATTTGGTAATTTGTACATCCAGTACTGTGCATCTACTTTGCTGATGAGTCCTAATATTGATGAAACCCTGACACAGTCGCCCTGTCGTCCTTTAAACACGCCGCGTGTTTTTTTTTGTTATGTCTCTTGAGCTGTGCACATGGCAAAACGGCCGTGTTTATTATTACGCTTTGTTTAGCCAGGAAAGCTTCACCGAGTCTTCTCGTGACTCTCTCCTTCAAGAGGGCCTCTGTCAAGCGTTCACAGTCGGGGCCCGGTGACCGCCATGCACATTCCAGGCAGAGTAATTTACACTGCGGGCGAAACGCGCTGCACGAAAAACGTCGCGATGTCATCCTGACGCCATCGAACCCCAAAAACAACAAACAAAAACTCTCTGACGGATAATACTGGTCGCGAAAGCCTACGCGTTGAACTGCCGAGAACGTTCGGTGATTCCCGTTGATATTCGAGGCTTGTGCCCCCTGTAACTGCGTCCTCCTCTTCCTCCTCCCTGCCACCACCACAGGGAGGAGTTTGCAGATCCAGTGCTACCAGTGCGAGGAGTTTCATCTCAGCGACTGCTCGGCGCCCGAGAACATCGCCAACTGCACCGTGAACGTGCAGAACGTGTGCCAGAAGGAGGTGATGGTCAGAAGCAACGGTACGCGACTTGTGCAAACGCCATTCCTGGGCAGTCACCCCCCTCCTGCCATGGGAATGTGGAATTTTAATAATTAGTAGAGGGCTATGGACGACCGTCGCCCCAGGCTTGTTTGAGCAAAGACACTGCTTGAATATAAATGTTTACTTTAGCCAGGTGGTGGTTGTGGTGGCTATGTACGCCTGTGATCCAACACTGTGGAGGCGACGAGAGCTGGTGGATCACACAAATGTTGTGATACTCCCCGTAGGTGTCTAGGAGCTGCCATACCGTGGCTTGCCAGGAGAATGTGGCACACGTATTCTCTCTGTATGCATTCATGTGTTGCCCCTGCATGCGTAGATTTTGTCCAGGTGCTCTGGTTTCCTCCCACGTGCATAGCAACTCATAAAATGTCCGATACCATCTTAACATATAGAGAACCACAGAGCTTCGAGGGGAATGTTGCACCGTTTCACTGCCTGGCTGTTGCCGTCCTGCGTGCTTGTCTGTGGTTTCTTCTCGTGTCTCCGAGTCGCTCTCTTGTCGAGAGAGAGCGGATACAAGTTAAATTATCATGATAATTATTATTATTCCTGAGCGCTCGTAAGTGTCGAGTTTGGATGGTTTGACCAACGACAAATGTCTAAACCTTCGTCGAGAGATAGCGACGCGCCCTCCTGCCGTAAGAGGCAGCGCTTCCAGCCTCCCCTCTCGCTCTGTCGCCCAGGGTGCCTCGTGACGAGCCACAGCCGCTACAACAAATCTGTCGGCATCTATGCGTCTAATTTCATACGGAGGCTTTCACGACCAATGTTACGATTCGTAATTGGTTTCTGTCGGGTTACGTCGTCGCGTCAATAAAATGTGTTTTTGTAAACCCTCTTCCACCCGACACGGCCAATTGATAAAAATGTCACGTGCATCAAACGTGGCCAAATCTATTTCTGCTTCAGTGGCAGCAGCAGCATCACCGGTGTTGTTTCTGGAGAGGAATCTCACAACAGAAATGCGCGCCGTGGATGTTACGGATGTCATGACATCATTCGAAAACGGAGTGGGCCATGTGCCGACGTCATGGCGCAAATTTGAAAGTTTACTTACAAACTGGGTGACGCACCACGTGCCAACATCGCCAACTGCCGGCAGACTCTACCCGTGCGTGCGCCTTGCTTCGTGATAGCCCTGCACGATAAGGAATGGCGCCAATACCAAACGCGCTAAATTCTTATTATTGTCTCAGCTCCCGTGCACGTCGAGGCGTTGCGGAGATGAATGAGCGATCCGTGCGGTTGTGGCGATGAGGCTGCGCTTGCATGGAGCGGGGCGGGCTGCGCTCTATCTCGCTGCTGCCGGAGCCCGCAGCGCTAAAGGAGATGGACCCACATATTTCACTCGGGTCGCTCGCCGGCGCGCCATTAGCGGCTCCGCGCGCGCGTCCGAGGTGACAAGGCGACTTACGCGCGTCGTCCGGAAGCCTTTTATTTGTTTTAAACCTCCGCGAGTCGCTCTCTCAAGTTACCGGAGCAAATGCAAGGAAGCTGACAAAAAACTACGAAATAAAAATGTATGTTTGTGTGTGTGCTGTTAAGAGAGCCATTGCCCGAAATGTAACCTCGAGGTGTTCTTCCCCCACAGTTTTATTGACAAACGCGTTGACTTTCTATTCCTTTATGCTCGTGCAGCACTGCCAACGCAGCAGCATCGCCAAATAATGTGTTTATAAATGTACGAAGTGACTGGTGTTTGGCCAGACATCCCAATGCTGACATTACCTGCAAATAACTCAAGTGGGATTACGCAGAGCAGCGCCATCGTGCCCTACTGCAGAAACAGAGTCTCGAGACTACGCAGTTAAGCACTCCTGGGTAAACGCGCGTAATGACAGAATGCCATTTTAGACAGAATGCCATTTTATTTCGAGAGGTATAGGGGGGTCGGCCAGCATGCGTGAAGGTGACTGCGGAGCAGCGGAATCCACGAGTGTACGGCACTTCTATGCCCCCATGTCTACTCCAACCGCCCTCGCCAAACCCATGCCGACCAACACGCTGAAGAACGGTCAACACCCCCCAGGGCCTGAAGCGGCGTGGAGATGCCCTTCATCCCGCAGCGGAGTGACACAAGCGCTGTACGTGTACACACACTGAAGAGGACGCGCACAAAAGCCGGCACGAATTGTAACCGCTGGCCGCTTCACCGACACGTGTGACCCGCTGCTACTCGCAAGGCTCAAACGCCCCGGACAACGGACACACTGCCACTGCTGCTGCTGCTGCTATAGCGGCTTGTATACGTGCACCGTACGTGGGACTTTTTTTGTACCGTACGTAGCCAACCGTGCTAATCGAAGGCGTGAAGGTGCTAATGGATCCAATCCGTACTCGAGAACTTGCCAGGGTGCAGAAGGTTTTCCTGATGAGGAATTCTTCATTATGCAAAAAAATCCTCAGCGTCATTGTGCAAAAAAAGGTAATAATATGTTAGCAGGCAATTCGTCCCCTTCATAAATCTGTCGCTGCGCATGAAAAATAAAATCCACAAATATTTTATTTTTCTAACTTCATCATCGTTGCCTTGGTGGAGGCAAATTGGTCCAGGTGTCGATTGCACTGAATCACTGCAAATTTAATTACGCACTCCCAAAATAACCATGGGGCCGATTGGGTTGTAGAAAGAATACTTTTACATTTTTTAGTTTAGTTTCATTTATTTTCTGAAACTGAGTTTCATTTGCAAGAGTGACCTGGGGCATGAGTCTACGGGGAGGGACAGTGGCTGCTACTCTGTGTGTACAATCCCGATGGAGTAATTTACGGACCCCCCCCCCCCCCCCCATGCCGACACACAATGTCCGACGCTTGCAAATAATGTCAAGGGGATTTTTCCGCCCACTGTGAAGAAAGACGGTGCGTCGGATCGTCATGGTTACTACACATACCGCAGTATTGACCAGGGCAGCCTGCCGGATTCGAACGGTCACTGCCCCCGAAACGGATATATGAAGGAGACATATTATCCGATTATCTATTTTTCTCATTAATTTCCGGTTACTGGGTGGGAATACACAAGGCTTAATGTCTCACTCAGTATATGTTGGAAAAACACTGTTTGGAGGAGGGAATATGACCCTATCAATAATAAGTCTATATTATTGTACCCTATATTTATGCGATGTCACGAGCATTTTTTGTAACCGCAGTAATATTTCAAAAATGTGAATGGATAAATAATTCCCGGAACAGCTTTCCAATCCGTTCCGGCTGAAATTAAGCGTTGGGTGAACGCGCGTATATTTTCAGTGGGATGCATCATTATTTTAGTATTTCATTCTTGATGACGGTGGGGAAGGAGGGGAACCCCATCTCACATTAATCACTGATGAAACGATAGTATCTCAATTACTCCAACGTGGCAGGAGTCTGTGGATGGGTTTTCATATCTCAAGGTTTACCGAGGCGAGTGCAAAAGTCGGCGAAGGAACTGGACACGTCTCTCTTGTTCATTGTCACCACCAGCAAGAGCAGCAGCAGCGGAAGAATCATCATCAGCAGCAGCAGACTAATGATCAATATCAGCAGAAGCATCAGCAGCAGAATTATAGTCATCTTCACCGTCATCCTCAGTTAACAGCAGCAGCAGTATCACAATCATCATCAGTAACAAAACCATCATCATAATCAGCAGCAGTAAAATCATCATGAGCAGAAACATTACCACCATCCACGGTAACCGCGGCGAACAGTAGAATGATTATGAGTAGAATGATTATGAGTAGAATGCACATTTCACAGCCGAGGGCGCGATCAGCATGCCCTCCACAACACATTCGCTTCTCTGAAAAACACGTGCTTGTTCAATAGATCATACAGCACGTGCTTGTTCAATAGAACATACAGCACGTGCTTGTTCAATAGAACATACAGCACGTGCTTGTTCAATAGAACATACAGCACGTGCTTGTTCAATAGAACATACAGCACGTGCTTGTTCAATAGAACATACAGCACGTGCTTGTTCAATAGAACATACAGCACGTGCTTGTTCAATAGAACATACAGCACGTGCTTGTTCAATAGAACATACAGCACGTGCTTGTTCAATAGAACATACAGCACGTGCTTGTTCAATAGAACATACAGGACGTGCTTGTTCAATAGAACATACAGCACGTGCTTGTTCAATAGAACATACAGCACGTGCTTGTTCAATAGAACATACAGCACGTGCTTGTTCAATAGAACATACAGCACGTGCTTGTTCAATAGAACATACAGCACGTGCGCGACCGTTGCGAGCGCTTGATGAAAAACAAACAATCAATGAAAGTAAAAAAAGGGGAAGTTTTAACGACATCTGCAGCACAAGATGACAGCAGCACCAGCAACACAAACCCCCAACGGCGGCATCGCCTTAGCCGCAGCAATAACAATCGCTTCTCCGGCGCGCGCGCCTCCTCGCGCCGTGCCATCATCACTTATATTTTCATTAGTTCCACCGCGAGCCACCATATACATCCACGCATAGCCGATTTATTAGACGCGCCCGACGGATGAGATTTAACACGAAGAGGTGAAATATTGTTGACGGGCAACGGGGACCTGCCACATTCGTAATCCAGATCTGCCCTACGAGGTGTGGGGAGAGGGGAGGGTGGTGGTGGCCGTGGCGGTGGCTTCAGTGGTTGTGGTGGTGCGGGTGGTGGTGATGGTAGGGGTTGCAGTGGTGGTTGTGGTGGTAATGTGCGCCGTGTCGGCCTTCATAGGTGCTCGCTAACAGCACTTGTCCCAACGGGTCTGTCTTTGGTGGTGGCAGAGAGTTAGAGCGGTCATGGTGGTGGTGGTTGTAATGGGTCTGGCCATTGTGGTGGAGATGATAACGATTGTGGTAGTGGTGGTAATAGTAGTGTTGCTAGTATTGGTGGTAATGGTGGTATGTTAGTGGTGGTGTGGCATTAGTGGTTAAGCATGTACGTAGAACTTATTTCACACCGTACGTAGCCAACCATGCTAATCGGAGGT